TAAAACACAACAATACCTGTTATCGTTTTGTTTTATTAATACACAAAAATATATGTATATGTTCCTTCACCTTTTATAATGTCCTCTCGCCTTTCTTGCAGCCTTGTGTGGCTTATTGTCACAATGAATTTGGTCAAATTAACTTACAAATACCCTGCAGTGGTTTTACTCCAGGGCAAAAAGTTCCCTATCACATTAAGTATCGAACAACACAACCCGATTGTAAATTATTAATTCAATTAAATTGTTTTACCACATGTCACACACCACAAAGCCCCAGCAATAAATTTAAACAAATTAAACAAATTATTAATTATGAAAAACATCTGTCATGTGAATGCACATCACATGTCAATATACCCCTTCATAGCCAGATTTCTACTATCAAAAATGACCCTGAATTAGTGTTCAGTATAGAATACACATTGGAAGCGATTTTAATTAATGGCTATAAGAAAGCTTTAATTAGTTTATCCGTACCCGTGACAATAGGTACAACACCCTGCTATAGATTTGAAGGGGGTTTAAAGAGCTACATGTGTTTTGATAATTTTGGTAAGTTGAATATCGTAAAATTTTTATGCAAATTACTTTTTAATTTAAATTAACCAATTAATTATTGTTTACTTTTGAATTTGTTACAGGTTCCTCCTCTGCTGAGCTGTTTACCACTCATGATATTGGTAATCTTTCTTATTCAGCTCCCGATGAATTATTTGAATCATTGGGAATTTACCCCTGAAACGTAAAACACATTTGAGGAAATCTTTAAGATATTGTTATAAAAAATTAATAAAACTTATTTGAACTAAGGATTTTGTAATTAATTTTTTAATTTCTCAATAAAAAAATTTGTATAGAAAATTTTTCTTTCTATAACAAGAAGGTTTAGTGAATATTTTATGAAAATTTTCTATAACAAGAAAATTTTATGAAAACTTCCTATAACAAGAAAATATTATGAAAACTTTCTATAACAAGTAAATATTATGAAAATTTTCTATAACAAGAAAATTTTATAAAAACTTTCTATAAAAAAAACATTTTGAGAAAACTTTATATAAAAATTTTCTATAAAAAAAGAAAATTTTGAGAAAATTTTCTATAAAAAAAGAAAATTTTGAGAAAATTTTCTACAAAAAGAAAATTATGAGAAAACTTTCTATAAAACGAATATTTCGAAAAAATCTTCTATAAAAAGAAAATTTTGAGAAAATCTTCTATAAAAAGAAAATGTTGTGAAAATTTTATATAACTAAAAAATTTTGTGAAAATTTTATATAACTAAAAAATTTTGTTAAAATTTTCTATAACTAAAAAATTTGTGAAAATTTTCTATAACTAGAAAATTTTGTGAAAATTTTCTATAACAGGAAAATTTTGTGAAAATTTTCTATAAGAGGAAAATTTTGTGAAAATTTTCTATAACAAGAAAATTTTGTGAAAATTTTCTATAACAAGAAAATTTTGTGAAAATTTTCTATAACAAGAAAATTTTGTGAAAATTTTCTATAACAAGAAAATTTTGTGAAAATTTTCTATAACAGGAAAATTTTGTGAAAATTTTCTATAACAAGAAAATTTTGTGAAAATTTTCTATAACAAGAAAATTTTGTGAAAATTTTCTATAACAAGAAAATTTTGTGAAAATTTTCTATAACAAGAAAATTTTGTGAAAATTTTCTATAACAAGAAAATTTTGTGAAAATTTTCTATAACAAGAAAATTTTGTGAAAATTTTCTATAACAAGAAAATTTTGTGAAAATTTTCTATAACAAGAAAATTTTGTGAAAATTTTCTATAACAAGAAAATTTTGTGAAAATTTTCTATAACAAGAAAATTTTGTGAAAATTTTCTATAACAAGAAAATTTTGTGAAAATTTCTATAACAAGAAAATTTTGTGAAAATTTTGTATAACAAGAATATTTGTGAAAATTTTCTATAACAAGAAAATTTTGTGAAAATTTTCTATAACAAGAAAATTTTGTAAAAAAAACAAGGTTTGTGAAAATTGGTTAGTTAGTTAGGTTTTGTGAAAATTAGTTAGTAGTTAGTTAGTTTAGTTAGTTAGTTAGTTAGTTAGTAGTTAGTTAGTTAGTAGTTAGTAGTTAGTTAGTTAGTAGTTAGTTAGTTAGTTAGTAGTAGTTAGTTAGTTAGTTAGTTAGTAGTAGTTAGTTAGTTGTTAGTTAGTTAGTAGTTAGTTAGTTAGTAGTTAGTTAGTTAGTTAGTTAGTTTAGTAGTTAGTTAGTAGTTAGTTAGTTAGTTGTTAGTTAGTTAGTTAGTTAGTAGTTAGTTAGTTAGTGTGTTAGTTAGTTAGTTAGTTAGTTAGTTAGTTAGTTAGTAGTTAGTTAGTTAGTTAGTTAGAGTTAGTTAGTTAGTTAGTAGTTAGTTAGTTAGTTAGTAGTTAGTTAGTTAGTTAGTTAGTTAGTTAGTAGTTAGTTAGTTAGTTAGTTAGTTCGTTAGTTAGTTAGTTAGTTAGTTAGTTAGTAGTTAGTTAGTTAGTTAGTTAGTTAGTTAGTTAGTTAGTTAGTTAGTGTAGTTAGTTAGTTAGTTAGTTGTAGTTAGTTAGTTAGTTAGTTAGTTAGTTAGTTAGTTAGTTAGTAGTTAGTAGTTAGTAGTTAGTTAGTAGTTTTAGTTAGTTAGTTAGTTAGTTAGTTAGTTAGTTAGTTAGTTAGTTAGTTAGTTAGTTAGTTAGTAGTTAGTTAGTTTTAGTTAGTTAGTAGTTAGTTAGTTAGTTAGTTAGTAGTTAGTTAGTTAGTTAGTTAGTTAGTTAGTTAGTTAGTTAGTTAGTAGTAGTTAGTTAGTTAGTTAGAGTTAGTAGTTAGTTAGTTAGTAGTTAGTTAGTTAGTTAGTTAGTTAGTAGTTAGTTAGTAGTTAGTTAGTTAGTTAGTTAGTTAGTTAGTTAGTTAGTTAGTTAGTTAGTTAGTTAGTTAGTTAGTTAGTTAGTTAGTTAGTTAGTTAGTTAGTTAGTTAGTTAGTTAGTTAGTTAGTTAGTTAGTTAGTTAGTTGTAGTTAGTTAGTAGTTAGTTAGTTAGTTAGTTAGTTAGTTAGTTAGTTAGTTAGTTAGTTAGTTAGTTCGTTAGTTAGTAGTTAGTTAGTAGTTAGTTAGTTAGTTTAGTTAGTAGTAGTTAGTTAGTTAGTTAGTTAGTTAGTTAGTTAGTTAGTTAGTTAGTTAGTTAGTTAGTTAGTTAGTTAGTTAGTAGTTAGTTAGTAGTTAGTAGTTAGTTAGTTAGTTAGTTAGTAGTTAGTTAGTTAGTTAGTTAGTTAGTTAGTTAGTTAGTAGTTAGTTAGTAGTTAGTTAGTTAGTTAGTTAGTAGTAGTTAGTTAGTTAGTTAGTTAGTAGTAGTAGTTAGTTAGTTAGTAGTTAGTTAGTTAGTTAGTTAGTTAGTTAGTTAGTTAGTTAGTTAGTTAGTTAGTTAGTTAGTTAGTTAGTTAGTTAGTTAGTAGTTAGTTAGTTAGTTAGTTAGTTAGTTAGTTAGTTAGTTAGTTAGTTAGTTAGTAGTTAGTTAGTTAGTTAGTTAGTTAGTTAGTTAGTTAGTTAGTTAGTTAGTTAGTTAGTAGTTAGTTAGTTAGTTAGTTAGTTAGTTAGTTAGTTAGTTAGTTAGTTAGTTAGTTAGTTAGTTAGTTAGTAGTTAGTTAGTTAGTTAGTTAGTTAGTAGTTAGTTAGTTAGTTAGTTAGTTAGTTAGTTAGTAGTTAGTTAGTAGTTAGTTAGTTAGTTAGTTAGTTAGTTAGTTAGTTAGTTAGTTAGTTAGTTAGTTAGTTAGTTAGTTAGTTAGTTAGTTAGTTAGTTAGTTAGTTAGTTAGTTAGTTAGTAGTTAGTTAGTTAGTTAGTTAGTTAGTTAGTTAGTTAGTTAGTTAGTTAGTTAGTTAGTTAGTTAGTTAGTTAGTTAGTTAGTTAGTTAGTTAGTTAGTAGTTAGTTAGTTAGTTAGTTAGTTAGTTAGTTTAGTAGTTAGTTAGTTAGTTAGTTAGTTAGTTAGTTAGTTCGTTTAGTGAGTTAGTTAGTTAGTTAGGTAAGTTAGTTAGTTAGTTAGTAGTTAGTTTAGTTAGTTAGTAGTTAGTTAGTTAGTTATTTAGTTAGTTAGTTTAGTTAGTAGTTACGTTAGTAGTTCTTAGTTGTTTAGTTAGTTAGTTAGTAGTTAGTAGGTTAGTTAGTTATGTTAGTAGTTAGTTCGTTAGTTAGTTAGTTAGTTAGTTAGTTAGTTAGTTAGTTAGTTAGTTAGTTTAGTAGTAGTTAGTAGTAGTTAGTAGTAGTGTTAGTAGTTAGTAGTTAGTTAGTAGTTAGTAGTTCGTTAGTTATTAGTTAGTTAGTGTTTTGCTTCGATGAAATATTTTTTTTCAAAAATAATACTAAATCGCAGTGGACATCTTCGGAAACGGTTTTCCTCCTGAATTTGAACTATATATCCAGCGGTCGTTTTCAAATGTTAACTAGTCAAAAATCGCTTTTTGAAAAATGTCTAATAATCAAGTGCCATAGTCGTTACTTTACCAGCTTTATTCAAAACAGTTTGAAAAAACTTATTTTTTTTAATTTTTTATTTTGTTTACATTTGTTAAAGAATTTATAGTTTCGTTTTTTTTTTTTTAAATTTAACTTACAAGCTAAAAAAATATACATATAACAATTTATAAATAAAAATTGATAATAAAAATATTTATAATTTTTGTTGTTTTTATATCGAAAACGTCTATTTAATGTTATTAATAATGGAAAAACTTTTTACGCTTAGCTAAATAGTAAAAATTGTGCAAATATGCTTATTGGCTAAAGGCTAGAAAAAAATAGGTAAATAAAAATTTTCAAAATAATTACGACATTTAACAAAAAATATAGAAGACTGGTAATTTTGTTTAAAGAAATTTTAATATAACTATAATTAAATTTTTGTTTTTTATTTTTAAATGTCAAATATAGTTTTTTTTTTCATTTTTGTATATAAATTGTGCAATTGTTAACATTTAAAAAGGGAAGAATTTATTATTAAAGGTAAAAATCTTAAGAGTAAATTTTGTTTTTGTTGTTGTTATGATTATATAATTTTTGTTATAGTTTTTTTTTTAATATTTTATTATTTTTGAGTAAACTTTACCAAATTATTTTTGTTAATTGCTTTCTCAAGTTTGTACAGTGGTTTAAAAAGATTTTATTTTGCAAAAAATTTGTTTTGTTTTTTCGTGAAATATTGAAACTTACACTATCTTGGTAGAATGGGGACCAATAGATTATCCCTAAAATCTGGTACATTGGTTTAGCAACATTTTATTTTGAAACAAAAACGAAATTTTGGAAATTTTTCATATGAAATTGTCGGAGTAAAGGTATTTTTGAGTTCATGTGTAGTTGTTCGGTTTTATAGGTGAAATAGGAACATATGGGTGACCCCTAAAATTTGTTACAGATTTTTAGAAAAAATGTTTTGGAAATAATTTGGTATGTTTCTTGTGAAATATTAAAGTTGTCGTAACTAAAATTGTCGGAGCGGAGGTGTCTGAGTTCAGCTGATGTTATTCGGTTTGAAAAGATGGAATGGGTTCAGAAATTTTATGCATTTTTAACCATAATTGATCACAGTTGTTATGAAAATCAGTATAAGAGTAAGTATTCTCACTGTTAGCAGGTTCTGGCTGCTTTCAGGGTCAGACTATTAGAGCCCAAATATGTGTTTATTCCACAGAAATCAGTTTGGTAAAGTTTAAAAATTCGACTTAGCCGAGTTTCATTAGTTTTAGTTAATTATTTTTGTTTTTAGAAAAATTCTTATTAACTATTTTTTTATTAAATTTATAATATTAATTTCACGTTTTAATAAAGGGACAAAGAAAGTATTAAATGGCACTTTTTATTATACAATAATTTTATTAATATTTTTATTACTTTTCTTCAACTTTCTTGTATTTTTAATATAAATTTTTTGCTAACTAGAAAAGAAAAAAAAAATACACAAAATTAAATATGAAACATAAAATTATCTGTCGGACTGTTTATCTTTTTTTTTTTAACATTTATGTAAGAAAAATCGTTTAACTATTTCTTTATGTAACGCAGTAATTGAAATTTTTTATATGATTTAACATGATGTAATTCTAACGAAGATGATGACATATCCGTCGTTGGCAATACCATAGAATGATGATGATGTTGCTGATGGTAACGTGTTGGTATGGCATCATAAAGGGTCTCTACAGTAAAAGAAAGTAAACAGGGGTGGTACAGAAGAAAAAAAAAACAAATAAAGTTAAACATTAATATTACGGCATTACAATTAGAAAAATATGTCTTACTTAACACTTAATTAGAAAAATATTTTAGAATATATTCTATAGAAAAATGTGTTTATAAAAAAATAGTTTTTCTTAAATACAATTTTGGTTTTGCTTTTTATGTTATTAGATAAAATGCTAATTGTTTTTCTTATTTTTTTGAGGCGTGCAATTTTAGATTTTTGTTTTTCATCAATTGTTATAAAAAATTTAATATAAAAAATTTTGGTTTTAAAAAAATTTTAACATACCAAATAGTTTTGTTTAATTTATATAAAAAATTTTCAATAAATATTCAAATTATTTTTTTTTTTGTTTTGGTTAATGTTTGGACTAACTACTTTTTCCAAATGTATAAACAAAAAAAATGTTTGGTTATTTTTTAGTTAATATTAGTAAAAAACGTATAATTAATAGGAATTAGTTAATTATTCAGATTCAACATTAGAATCATCACTACCGGGTGGTATAATGGGCGTTTCGTAATCATAGTAGACGGGATAGCGTGGTTTAAAATTTTCCGTTTTAGTATTGGTTGCTACGCTAGACATGCTCACGTTTTCCATGTATTCGGTGTCATCGTAGAATTTTTCACTTAAAGCCATTGCATCCTCATAGGAAGGGGGCACTGTGGAAGAAATACAATTTAGCATCAAAACTAACTAGAAAATAATAACTTCCAATGAAAAAGTTCAAAGGAAATCGTTCAATTCAACGCTTTTTTGCAATCAAAAAAAGTTTAATGAAACTTTTCATTTCAATGAAAAGCTCAATATTATATTTCCACAAGATTGTTGAAACTTTTTTTCAATCAAATTAACAAAAAAAAGTTTGTTAAAACTTCATCTCTTCTATAAACAAAGTTTAACAAAAGTTATGTCAAGTTGAAACTAAAAACTAAGATAAAACTAAAATTTAAAAAAAATATAAAGGATTTTTTTAAATTCAAAAAGATTTTTTTTAACTTAAAAGCTTGTTTTAAATTCAAAAAGCTTTTCGTAAAAAAGTTGAAAAAGGTTTCTACAAATTTTTAAAAAGTAATTTTTAGATTTCTTTAAATTCAAAAGGGTTTTAAACTTTAAAGCTTGTTTTAAATTCAAAAAGCTTTTCGTAAAAAAGTTCAAAAGCTTTTTAAAAATGTTTAAAATGTAATTCTTAGAAGAATTTTTTTAAATTCAAAATGTTTTGTTAACTTTAAAGCCTATTTTAAATTAAAAAAAAGCTTTTCAAAAGAAAGTTGAAAAAGCTTTTCATAAAAAAGTTTAAAAAAGCTTTTCATAAAAAGTTCAAAAGTTTCAAAAAGTTGAAAAACCTTTTTAAAAAATTTTAAAAAGTAATTTTTAGAAAGATTTGTTATACCCACCATCAAAAAAGATGCGGGATATATTGATTTTGTCATTCCGTGTGTAACACATCGAAATATTGTTCACAGACCCCATAAAGTATATATATTCTGGGAACTTGTAAAATTCTAAGACGATCTGGCTATCTCCGTCCGTCTGTCCGTCTGACTGTTTTTGGCACGATAACGTCCACAAAAAAAAATAGATAATCAGATGAAATATTCCCAAAATATTTCTTATTGATAAGAAATGTTTGGTATCGAAAATGGGCAAAATCGGTCAACGATTTCACATAGCCCCCATACAAATGTACCCCCCGGAATATTGTGTAAAAAGTTTCAAACATTCACAAATTCGTTGTTTATGAATCAAATGCCATAAAATTTCGCACAAGTCAGTTGTTTGACTTCCGAAATAAAATTCTGAATTAGGGCTGACATAAGACCACAATTGGCATTACCCCCATATAAGGTCCCCTTTGGAAAATGACTAAAATGCTGATTACTGTCTTAAAAATACGAATATAGCGATGAAATTCCACACATAAGTTTCATGCCAGCCAATATCTGAATTTTATGTGGATCGGTCCATCATTGACCCTACCCCCCATATAAGGTCCCATCCATAAAATTACTTTAACGCTCATTACTGGCTTAAAAATACGAATATAGCGATGAAATTTCACAGAAATAAGTTTTATACGAGCCAAAATCTCTCTACCAAATGTGGATCAGGCATTAATTGACGCTACCCCCCATATAAGGTCCCCATCAGAAAATTACTTTAAGGCCCATTACTGGCTTAAAAATACGAGTATATCAATGAAATTCGACTCAAGTAAGTTACTTGCGAGTTAAAATATATTAACCAAATTTTATGTGGATCGGGCCTTAATTGACCCCCATATAAGGTCCCCATCAGAAAATTACTTTAACGCTCATTACTGGCTTAAAAAACGAGTAAAGCGATAAAATTCGATATAAACATGACTTGTATGAACCAAGATCGTTCTACAAAATTTTACGAGGATCGGTCTATAATTGAACCTACTCCCATATAAGGCCCCTTCAGAAAATGACTTTAAAACTCAGTACTGGCTAAAAACTACTAGTAGATCTATGAAATTCGACATAAACTAGTTTTGTATGAACTAACATCTCTCTACACAATTTTGTGGGGATCGGTCCATAATTGACCCTATCACCCATTTAAGGTCCCCATCAGAAAATTACTTTAGCGCTCATTACTTGCTAAAAACTGCGAGTACAGCGATGAAATACGACACTGATAAGTTCTATAGGAATCGAAATCTCTCTACCAATTTTTATGAGGATCAGTCCATAATAACCCCACCTCATATAAATTTAGTTAGTTAGTTAGTTAGTTAGTTTGAAAGGAGGATGAATGTACATCAAATCCGAAGAAATACACCTAGGCCTCTATCGGGCCTGTTGTGCGCTCCTTAACCAGTGCCTCAGGTGGGAATCGAACCCACCACCTCCGGTCTACCAGACTAGAACACTAACCACTAACCTACCGGAGGCCACTCATATAAATTTACTTTTAACAAGTAAGAGTGTTATATTCGGCCATGCCGAATCTTATATACCCACCATCAAATCATCCTTATAAATAAACTTTGATATAATCGATCTATGTTGAATCATATGTCGATATTATTATGAACATCAGGGAAATATTTGGAAGAGGGAATTTAATAAAGGCTTAAGCATGGACCGTGCTCTTCCGAATTAAAAATATTAATTTTGTTTGATCCAATATTTATAACTATAAACTCATACAAAACTTGTTTATGTGAAATTTCATCGCTGTAGTCGCATTTGAGCGTTACAGCCAGTAACGAGCGTTACAGTCACTATCTGAGGGGGACCTTATATGGAGGGTGGGGTCAGTTATAGACCGATCCCCATAAAATGTGATAAATAGTTTTTGGCTAGTACAAAACTTGTTTACGTAGAATTTCACTGCTGTAATAGCATTTTTGAGTCAGTAATGAGCGTTAAAGTAATTTTCCGAAGGGGACCTTATAGGTGGGTATGGTCAATTACAGACTGATAAAAATTATAAAATCATAAAATTTAGTGAGAGATTGTAGCTAATACGAAAATTGTTCATGTCGTACTCAGTACTCGCAGTTTTAATCTATGAACTTTAAAGTCATTTTCTGAAGGGGACCTTACAAGGGGGATAGGGCTAATTAAGGACCGATCCTTATAAAACTTGATAAAGAACTTTTGGCTCACACAAAACTAGTTTGTGCCTTAAAGTCATTTTCTGAAGGAGACCTTATATGGGGGGTAGGGTCAATTATGGACCCACCCTCATAAAATTTAAGAAAATGATTTTAGTTCCTATAAAAATTTTTTATGTCGAATTTTATTGCTATATATATGCACATATGTTTCTTAAGGTCAGATATGAGCATTAAAGTCATTTTCTGAAGGGGACCTTGTATTGGGGATAGGGTCAATTATGAACCGATCCTTATAAAATTTTACGAAGAGATTTAAATTCTTATAAAACATGTTTGTGCCGAATTTCATCGCTATTGATGCTTTTCTTAGCCAGTCATGGGCGATAAAGTCATTTTCTGAAGGGGACTTTATATGGGGGGTAGGGTCAATTATGGATCGATCCTTATAAAATTATATGAAGAGATTTATGTTCCCATAAAACATGTTTGTGCCGAATTTCACCGCTATTGATGCTTCTCTTAGCCAGTTATGGGCGATAAAGTCATTTTCTGAAGGGGACTTTATATGGGGGGTAGGGTCAATTATGGGCCTATCCTTATAAAATTTTACAAAGAGATTTATGTTCCCATAGAACATGTTTGTGCCGAATTCCACCGCTATTGATGCTTATCTTAGCCAGTTATGGGCGATAAAGTCATTTCTGAAGGGGACTTTATATGGGGGGTAGGGTCAATTATGGGTCTATCCTTATAAAATTCCACGAAAAGATTTATGTTCCTATAGAACATGTTTGTGCCGAATTTCACCGCTATTGATGCTTCTCTTAGCCAGTTATGGGCGATAAAGTCATTTTCTGAAGGGGACTTTATATGGGGGGTAGGGTCAATTATGAGCCTATCCTTATAAAATTTTAAAAAGAGATTTAGGTTCCCATGAAACATGTTTGTGCGGAATTTCACCGCTATTGGTTCTTCGCTTAGCAAGTTATTAGCGATAAAGTAATTTTTGAAGGGGACTTTATATGGGGGGTAGGGTCAATTATGGACCGATCCTTATAAAATTTTACAGAGAGATTTAGGTTCCCATAGAACATGTTTGTGCCGAATTTCACCGCTATTGATGCTTCTCTAAGCCAGTTATGGGCGATAAAGTCATTTTCTGAAGGGGACTTTATATGGGAGGTAGGGTCAATTATGAGCCTATCCTTATAAAATTTTAAAAAAAGATTTAGGTTCCCATAAAACATGTTTGTGCCGAATTTCACCGCTATTGGTTCTTCCCTTAGCAAGTTATGAGCGATAAAGTCATTTTCTGAAGGGGACTTTATATGGGGGGTAGGGTCAATTATAGACCTATCCTTATAAAATTTTACAGAGAGATTTAGGTTCCCATAAAACACGTTTGTGCCGAATTTCACCGCTATTGATGCTTTTCTTAAGCAGTTATGGGCGATAAAGTCATTTTCTGAAGGGGACTTTATATGGGGGGTAGGGTCAATTATGGACCGATCCTTATAAAATTCTACGAAGAGATTTGTGTTCCCATAAAACATATTTGTGCCAAATTTCACCGCTATTGGTTCTTCCCTTAGCAAGTTATGAGCGATAAAGTCATTTTCTGAAGGGGGCCTTATATGAGGGCTAGGCGAAATTGTGGACCGATATTGCCCATTTTCAATACCAAACAAACTGCATCAACTAAAAGTATCTGTGCAAAATTTCAGCACCCTAGCTGATTCCATTTTGACTCTATCGTGTTTTCAACAGACAGACAGACAGACAGACGGACAGACGGACAGACGGACAGACGGACAGACGGACAGACGGACGGACATGGCTAGATCGTCTTAGAATCTTATAAGGACCCAGAATATATATACTTTTATGGGTCTTAGACGAATATTTCAATGTGTTACAAACGGAATGACAAAAACAATATACCCCCCATCTTTTTTGATGGTGGGTATAAAAATAGTTCAATATAACTTCTTTTTAAGAAAAAATTTCAATAAAACATTTTCCAAGATAATTCAAAAACAAAAATTTTCGATAAAAAATCTTTTTTTTTAAAAAAAGTGAAAATAATTTCATGAAAATTTAAAAATCTTATTTAGAATTTTTTTAAATAAACTTTTTCTCAAAAAAAAAAAAACACTTTTTAAAAAATATTTTTTTTTTAATTAAAGCACAGCTTTTTAATTGAAATGTACTTTTAATAAAAATTCCTTTTCGAACTCACTCATAGCTATATAATCTGGAGGATTGTCTGTTGTATCAGTCACCATTATAGTGGGTGTATTTTGATTTGGATCTTCTTCTTCAGCCAAAATGCCAACATCATCTAATGTTGTCATGGGTGGCGATTCATTATCCAATGGACCACGTATTATACTATTGTTATTCGACTGAACTAAAGCATTTCCACCAACACCACCAACGGCACTAATACCTCCCTCGCCACCACCATTATCCATAATTGGTATACTACCGATGGTCAGTGGTATTTTCAATTTCATTTTCCAATGGAACTCTGTTGGTTTTATAATAATTTTAATGGCATAATTAACGGTTATAGGACACGTTGTTTTCACCGATGTCGGCGGTATAGATGGCAGTTCTAAATACCCTCGATAAACTTTGCGACTCCAGCGCAAAACGTTGCCAAATTGTTTGCAGGCAATCAAATGTTTATCATAACGATATTCATGCTGGGGATCATGGGTCTCATAGGAGACCTCTTGCTTTAGTTTAACATCACATTCGGTTATATCTATGGAGGATTCATTGTTGATGTATAAAACGAAATGGATTTTTTGACCCGGTGCATAGCCGCAATAGGGAGTGGAGAATTTAACGGTTAGTGGACCGGTTGGACAGCAAAAACTCCAAAATCGTTTGCGATCGAGAATGTCTAAAGGTACCTGGTAATAAAAAAAGATAAACTTATTAATTGATTTTTTTATACAGTTTTTATCGTTATAGTTTAACTTACCCTATAAATGGCATCGGCATTTAAATCTAACGGCTGTATTACGGTAAATGGCAATTTAAAAACTTTAGGATAACGTCCTGGTCTATCTATTGTTGTTATTATTTCATAATGTATTTGACCATATTTCCCATCAAATGATGTTGGCAAATTGTCCGGCAGTATAACATGAAATGTATATGAGTATTCACCAGCTAACCAATCCATATAAGTTGTTGCACCGCATGAGCCCAAAACATATGAACGTGACGATAAATACGAACGATAGGCTCGACACATGGCACGTTCATTATCACGTGGATAGCCCTTTTTTATCCAGCGTATCTTGGCATAACCATTAACGGTAATGTGTATGGCTAAGTATGTATGTATGTATGTGTGTGATGTGAAGGCAGGGATAAGAACAAATAGGAAAAGAGACATTTTTATTACACTTAAAGTAAATATTAAATATTCTTGATATCTTAATGTTAATCTTTTAAAAATAATGTATCTATATGTACATATGTATGATTGCAGATTTTATATACATATTTATACCCTACACTACTTTAGTGGGGAGGGTATATTGGGTTTGTGCTGATGTTTGTAACGCACAATAATATTGGTCCTATACCAATCGACTTAGAATCATTTTCTGAGTCGATTTTGCTATGTCCATCCGTTTATCCCTCCTTCCGTCTGTCCATGTAAACCTTGTAATCAAACTACAGGTCGTAATTTTGCTGATAATTCAATGAAATTTATCACATGATCATCTATTGTCCCAAGCCTATTGAAAATGGTTAACATCGGTCCATTATTTCACCTAACTCCGATACAACTGAACCGGCCGAATAGGGCTTTTAAGTTTATAATTATGTTTAATATATTCATATCTTGACAAAAACTGCTAAACCAAGTTCTATACTAGCATTGATGACCCTCATGAATTTTATAATTATAGGGCCTCATTTGACCCTAGCCCCTATATAAAGCCCCCTTCAAAAATTGACTTAAATGTCCACAATTTTACTCAACAATAAATGGCTTAAGTATATCTGAAGCAAGGTACACTTCAAATTAAATGCTTTGTTATGAAAACTAAATCACATTTTTTTTTGTAACAGGTGTAGGGTATTATATGGTTGGCTTCGCCCCGACTATTAATTCTTACTTGTTATGTATGCAGAGTTGCCAGATTTTTCCTTAAATATAAAATCATTTCTAAATTTCCAACAAAATGTTTCATGAGACACATCAACACTACATACTGGAAGGATGTACACTAATATAGGTCCTGCCCGATCGCACACCAGAGACAGAACTTTGAGGCACTGAACTTACATAGAATATCATGTCTTGTAGAAGATTGGTATCTTAAAAAAGACTGCCAAGATGGAAATATTAAATATTTTACAAATTCCTTTAACAAAAAGTGGTCATCTACTAAAATTCTGGCATCACTTATATAACTACATTTGTTTCTATTTAACTCAGGCATTAACATATTATATTACTCTCTTAATATCTCAAATTTCATCTTTAGCAAACAAACAAAAAGCTAAAACAATTTTTGTACAAAATAATATAAACTGCAATTAGGCGCCACTGCAATTTAATGTTGACATTGTAATTAATTTTCCACTGCAATTTCATTACACGACCGAGTATAATTTTAAGCTTTTATTCTCAAAGGACCACTAAAGAACCAAAAACAGCAACAACAACAATAACAACAAATATAATAACGACAACAGTGGTAGTAATGACAAAACCAGAAAAAGAGGTTGGTTATTGGCAAGAGTGAGTATATATGTGCCCTACAACACATACATATGTATATACAAATAAAGGACTAGTAACAATCCTTACAAAATTTGGCAACCGGTTTTGAGTTATCATGAGCCTTGAACCTTTCTGTAGGAGTTAAGTGAAACCTTGTGTAATAAATATACTTTACTTAGTTTAAACATTTCCATGGATTGAGTTAAAGATAGACATATTAATATGTAGGTGATCAAGAAAGTTTATAACTTTTTTACTTTTAATTTGATTTAATAGCTTAAAATGGTCATCAATCAAACTTCTTTCATTCCCCTTTCCTATTCCTTAAACTTCAACTTTACTAAGTTATATTACATATGTGTATGTATATGTATATCACATCCTCCTTAGGGTGTTTCCATTATCTGTCTAGACCTATTTTTTTCCCACAATTATTTACTAACAAATATCATGTTTTGTGGTCACAGTTAATGGCTGCATGCCAAAAACCATTCTCACATACTATGAATAACAAAACAAAAGTTTATTTACAAAATTTTCAAACTAAAAATAGGATATAATTATATAGAGCACATAGATAAAATGTTCATAATATGAAAATGACAACAACAGAAAACAACAATAACAACAACAGAGACAACAACAAACAAACAAACAAAAATAATAAAACAGGAAATGCAAATATAAGAGTGTATGTTGAAATATACCTACATGCAAACGGAAATGCTGTTGTTGTTATAATTATTCACATGTACTCATATGTTTTGACTGTATATGTATGTAGTATTTGCAATAACACGTTACATTAACATTATGAATAAAAATGTCCTGCAGTTTGGGCTAACTTCTTGAGGGAAAGTTTTTCCATAGAAAAAGTATATTAATGAGGGAAAAAAATGTCATCGTGAGGGATAGGTTTTTTATAGAAAAAGTATCTTCTTGATAGACGGGTTTTTTTTATAGAAATTGTTTCTTCTGAGATAGAGTATTTTTATAAAAAAACGTTATTTGTTAGCGACAGTTTCTCTACAGAAAACAGCAATTTTTTAGTCGATAAAGTCTGTCAGTCAGTATGTCTGTCTGTCTGTCCGTCTGTCTGTCTGTCTGTCTGTCTGTCTGTCTGTCTGTCTGTCTGTCCGTCTGTCTGTCTGTCTGTCTGTCTGTCTGTCTGTCTACCTGTCTGTCTGTCTGTCTGTCTGTCTGTCTGTCTGCCTGTCTGCCTGTCTTTCTGTCTGTCTCTATGTCTGTCTGTCTGTCTGTCTGTCTGTCTGTCTGTCTGTCTGTCTGTCTGTCTGTCTGTCTGTCTGTCTGTCTGTCTGTCTGTCTGTCTGTCTGTCTGTCTCTATGTCTGTATGTCAGTATGTCTGTTTGTCTTTCTGTCTGTCTGTCTGTCTTTCTGTCTCTCCGTCTGTGTATTTGTTGAAATCAATTTTTTTCGGGACCCAAATCATCAATAACTCTGTCAGACATACTTCCGAGAAGTTTCCTATTTTTGTTTTTTATATCAGCAAAATCCGACCATAAATAACGGTGATATAAGCAAAAAATCCGAAACAATCTCTGTTTTTTATACCCTCCACCACCATCAGTGGTGATAGAGGGTATATACAACTTTGTCATTCCGTGTGTAACACCAAGAAATATTCATCTGAGACCCAACAAAGTATATATATTCTGGGTCCTTATCAAATTCTGAGTCGATTTAGCTATGTCCGTCTGTCCGTCTGTCTGTGTAAAACACGCTCACGATAAAACGAAGCAATAGAGTTTAACCAAATTCACCCCAAAATGTTCTTCATTTTCCTAAGTTGTTTGGTATTGAAAATGGGCCAAAATCGGTTAACACCGGGAAAAGTTATGAATCAAAATTTAAAACAACCTCGAAAAAAATAAGCAAGGTAATTCAATGAAAATCACCACACATTCGTTTCTACACAAGAGCTTGATCCCTGCTAAAAATTGCCAGAATCGGTCCACAATTTCATATACCTCCCATACAAAAGTACATATTCCCGGAAAATGGGTTTTTTGTTAATAGCTTTCCGTCAGAATGTTGATATCTTCACAAAATTTTACAAATTAAAATCTTATGTCAATAGAATTCATTCAGAGAAAAAATTTTCTGGATCGGTCCATAATTGGACATAGCTCCCATACAAGGTCCCCTCCCGAAAATCACTTAAACGCGCATAACTCATTACTAAATTAAGATATCCATATAAAATTTGGTACAAGTATTGTTTATATGCACAGAAATGTTACTGTGAAATTTTTTCTCGATCGGTCCATAATTGCTCATAGCTCCCATACAAGGTCCCCTCCCGAAAATCACTTAAACGCGCATAGCTCATTACTAAATTAAGATATCCATATAAAATTTGGTACAAGTATTGTTTATATTGCACAGAAATGTTAGTGTGAAATTTTTTCCCGATCGGTCCATAATTGGTCATAGCTCCCATACAAGGTCCCCTCCCGAAAATCACTTAAACGCGCATAGCTCATTACTATATTAAGATATCCATAAAATTTGGTACAAGTAATACTCATATGCACAGAACTGTTACTATGGAATTTTTGCCCGATCGGTCCATAATTGGTCATAGCTCCCATACAAGGTCCCCTCCCGAAAATCATTTAAACGCGCATAGCTCATTACTAAATTTAGATATCCATATAAAATTTGGTACAAGTATTGTTTATATGCACAGAAATGTTACTGTGAAATTTTTTCCCGATCGGTCCATAATTGCTCATAGCTCCCATACAAGGTCCCCTCCCGAAAATCACTTAAACGCGCATAGCTCATTACTAAATTAAGATATCCATATAAAATTTGGTACAAGTATTAGTCGTATGCACAGAAATGTTACTGTGAAATTTTTTCCCGATCGGTCCATTATTGGTCATAGCTCTCATACTAGGTCCCCTCCAGAAAATCACTTAGATGAAATATTCATTACCAAATAATGATATAGATACAGAATTTTGAAATTTTGTCTTTATATACATAATTGGTCATAGCTCCCATACAAGGTCCTTTTACGAAAATCTCTTAAACGCACATTACTCATTACCAAATAAAGCTATACTAAGTTACGATATAGATACAAAATTTTACTGAAATATAGCTTTTATGTACAGAAATTTTGCTTAAAGAATTTTTTACGATCGGTCTATAATTGATCTTATCTCTCATACTAGGAACTGCCCCTAAAAGCGCTTTAACCTTATTTAACTATTTGCATTATCAATTTGTGTAGAACAAAATTATATATGTATGTATTTTCAAAATCCTTAAATCTTTCACACACATGCATACATGCAAATTATTAAATATTGCTAAGCACTATAAAAATATAAAAGAAAATGGCGTTTATAATGTTCAATAAATCTTGGAATTGTAATAGATCTAAGCTGTTTAAATCTTGGGATTTATCTATTTAAGACATGAGAAGACTTATTTGGACAAACGTTTGATCAATTAGAAAAGTATTAATATAAAAGTAGCTGGTGGAGGGTATTTAAGATTCGGCTCAGCCGAATATAGCACTCTAACTTGTTTTTAATCACAATTTTTCAATCGAAAAATTGTTCTTTAGCGATAGTTTTTTAAACTGAGAAAAATATGTCTTCTTCAGATGCAGTTTTCTATA